ACAAGTGATCTCTTATGTTATCGAATGGAAGGTGGGAGTGGATTGGGTCTGTTGACTCATCTAACTTAGACTAGACTCCTACTCCGTGTTCCTCTTTGTCCTCCTCATTCGCATCCTCTCCCCCTCTCCCCCCTCCTCCCCCTCTGCCCCCACGTCTGGACAACCCCTGTTGCTACAGGCTCCAAGCATAAGCTAGGAGATGTCGATGTCCTTCACCCTAGTAACCCCGCAATCGCAGGCTTCTTCGAGGACTACCCCTGCCCGTAGTTCACCACGCTAGGCTGCTCCAAGGTCCATGGCATCAAAATAACGCCGACGGGCCCATGGCACAATTCGTGAGTCTCGTGAGCTACAGAACGATCTGATGTTTTCTTCGCAGTGCAGAGCGTTGCGTCAATGTGTGTCCTGTGCTGGTGCCCCCCCGTACTCTTGACGAGCCGCCCCCGCTCTGTGCCTGCCCTTCCGCTCCTGTCAGTGGTCAGCCGCTGATAGAGGAACAGAGAACGGCATAAACTTACGTTCTCGGAGGTCCGCGCGGATTTCATGGATCTGCGCTAAATCCTGCCCCCTGGCGCGCGGAGCGCGCCAGGGGCGGCGCCGGAGGCGCAGGACGAGGATATCATCCAGTGAGGATAGATCGAGAATCTCTGAGACCCGGCGGCTCTCGAGAATGTCTCGGAGGCCGCGGCCTCCTCAGAGCGTTCTGGAACTCTCTGGAACGGATTTGCAGAGGAGGCCAGTCCAGAAAAAACCTTCCACAATAAACCCAAACCTGAGACCCCAGGACGTCCATCGATGTTTGGTGCGGGACCGTCACGGTTTCCATAGCAAAACCATCGGAACCTAAGAGACCCAGGGCACCCTGGAGGCGAGCAGGGTGCTTCTTGGCATGGGCTTCCACTGAATCCTCGTCCTCGCCGCGCCCGACTCTCCCCACGCTTGGGCAGTGCGCCCGGTCAGGCCTTCGAGCCTCCCCAACTCTTTGACGGCCGACGGCGACACACGGGTCTTTCCACAGGTGGCTCCCTTACTGCGCTGACCCAAGGGCGTGAGCCTATCCAAACAAGAGAATGTCCGACGCCATTGTTCCCGAAGCGATGCTGAAGCTTGCTCTTGCGCTGGTCGTCTTTTGCTCCCCCCTGCCCCATCCTGTCCCCGCTCTTCCCCCTCGCCTCCGCTCCTCCTCCCGTACGGTCCGACCCAAGCCAGAAGAACATCCTTCAAGAACATGGGACCCTCCGCCGGCCAAAACACACAGAACATCCGAAGGTACCCTCCCCAGGACAAACACGAAAAACATCAGGGTACCCTCCCCGAACCGACCTGGATCTTATACCTCGGTCCGACTGTATCCTCCCCGCCCGACCCCATATAGATGGCCATGGTCACCTTCACCATCACCATCACAACAATCATCATTATCACCATTATCATCAGCATCGTGATCACCATCGCCATCATCGTCATCGTACTACTCATCATCATCATCATCATCATCATCATCATCATCATCATCATCATCATCATCATCATCATCATCATCATCATCATCACATCATCATCATCATCATCATCATCATCATCATCATCATCATCATCATCATCATCCGCATCATCAACATCTTGTTGGTCGTCGTCGGCGTCGTCGTTGGCATAGTCATCGTCATCATCATCATAATCATCAGCATCATCATCACGATCATCATGACCATCATCATCACCATCACCATCTCCATCACCATCACCATCATCATCATCATCATCATCATCATCATCATCATCATCATAAGCATCATCATCATCATCATCATCATCATCATCATCATCATCATCATCATCATCATCAGCGTCATCGCCGTTATCATCCCCAGCCCACTGCAGTCCCCTTCCCCTCCTCCTCCCGTTCTCCCTCTTCCCACTATCTTATACTCATCCTTTTCCTCGTCGGCGAATCCCTGAAAGACATCCCTGTTCCTTCAGCTCCTCCTCCTCCTCCTCCACCTCTTCCTCCTCCTTCTCCTCCTCCTCCCTGTCTTCCCCGCTCGTCGGTGTGTCTCCCCTTGCGCTCCTTCACCTAATTCACCGCATTCCTCCTCTCGAACCCTCTTCATCCTGCGCTCCCCCTCTCTCCTCGTCCTCAGAATCCCTCCCCGAGCCAGAACAAGATAATCTTACAAGAACAATGTTCCTCCTCCTCTTCCCCCTCCTCTTCCCCCTCTTCGTCCTCTTGATCTTCCTCCCCCTCCTCCTTCTCCGCCTCCTCCTCCTCCTCCTCCTCCTCTTCCTCCTATGCCTCCTCTCCTCCTCCTCCTCCTCCTCCTCCTCCTCCTCCTCCTCCTCCTCCTCCTGGCGACACGGATGATGGCATTCGGCCCATCCCGCGCCTGGGTTGGAGATTAACGGCCTCTTGGGGGGCTGCTGGGGTCTCGGAACGTGCAGGGAGCCTCTTGGAGGCAATTGTGAAACTTGTAGGGGTCTCTTGGGGGCTGTTTGGGAGCCTCTTGGGGGCTTTTGAACTCTCTTGGGCTCGCTTGGGTGTCGTTTGGGGATCTTGGGGACTCTTGAGGGCCTCCTGGGGGCATGCGTTGGTCTCTTGGGCGCCTCTTGGGAGCCTCCTCGGGGCCTTGCGGATCCTCTTGGGGCGGAGGCTCGAACTTACAGTTCGAACGCCCCCTCTGGGGCCCGTGTTGGGGCCCACTTGGGGCGTTATTGGGCGCCTATGGGGCCGTCCTGAAACCCTCTTTGGCCGTTTTTGGGCACTCATGTGTGACTCTTGGGCCGTCTTGAAGCGATCGTGGGGGCCTCTTGGGCCGTCGTTGTCCATACGAAGACCATCACATGGACATGCGAAATTACGTGCGTTTTCTTATAGGAATAAGCAGATGTTTGCCTCTTAGGGCCCTGTTGGGGGCCCTCTCTTGGAGCCACTTTGGCCCACAGGCAGACATCTTGGCCCGTCTGAACATAAATCTGGAAGCTCTGGGGGGGCTGTGAGAAGCTCCAGGGAGGCTCCGGGGACGCTCCAGGAGCCGAGGGGGCACTTAGTGCACCCTGGGTGCCCCTGGTGTGCTGGGGCCCGGGGCCCCCCGGGCTGGGTTTCCGGAATATGAAAGATGTGTAAATAATTATGTTTCTCTTTTTTTTATCTCTCTCTCTCTCTGTCTCTCCCCCTCCCCCCACTGCCCTTGCCAGCCCCCCGCCCCAAGAGACGGGAGAGCCAGAGGTGGCGATTCTGCCCTGCGCCACCGGATAGCGAGAACGCACTCCGAGGAAGCAATACGGCGGAGCTAATTATCAGAGCAAACAAATCTAGTGGTAGAGCGAATTCGGGAGAGCAAATCATTTCCCAGGACGTCCCGCGCATTTTGCCCGATTCATTGGCGCATATGCTGGAGTGCAAATGTTTCGAAGTCGGTCTGGCACGGCCTCCGCCATCGGGTTGCTTAAACGGTCCTCCCTCTGATCTCGATTTTCGCTCTACAGTGAAACCCGATCAGTGAATATTTGTCGCGCTTTTTCCTCGCCACAGGCTCTGTGAAGGCCACTATGACGAGATGTAGCTGCTGCGCTTCCTGGCATCCGTTTAAACAACAATCTACTGCTGTCCTGAACACGGCACCTGCCCATACCATAATTACCATCGCTGCGCGCGCGATCTCCTTCCCCCCCCCACACCTGCGCTCGAGGCGCCAGTCTTCGACACCCCCAAGCCCCCTCCCCCGCAGCCTCGTCCTCCTCAGATTCCCCTTCTCCCCCAGCGGACAGTGCTTGGCTGCATTGTGCGGAAGAGGCCCCGGGAGAAACAGCACAGTCCGACACAGTCCTCCTCCCCTCCCCCCTCCACCCTCCTCCCCCGGTGGCCCGGGGGCGCGGCGGGGGAGCAAGAAAACACCCTCGCCGCCACTCCCCGCGCCGCTCCATCCGGGGGCTCGACCTGGCCAGGATTCCGGGGGGTCCTTGCTGTAGGGGAACGAAGAATGACATCAACAGAACAACTCGGAGGTCCGCGCGGATTTCTTGGATCCGCGCTGGACCCCCCTCCCCGGCGCGCGGAGCGCGCGAAGAATGACATCAACATAACAACTCGGAGGTCCGCGCGGACTTCTTGGATCCGCGCTGGACCCCCCTCCCTGGCGCGCGGAGCGCGCCAGGGGCGGCGCCGGAGGCGCCGCCAGAGGGGTCCAGCGCCGATCCGAGGAATCCGCGCGGACCTCCGAGTTTTTATGTTTATGTCATTCTTCGTTCCCCTGATTTCCGACCGTGGCAGAACCAGCATCGGAATGCGCGTCGCATCCGGCCGCAGCAGCGCGGAACCATAGTCGCATCGGCGCGGCCGCGCCAGGATGCACAGCAGTGCTATGCGTCTCTGTCAACTGGCCGAAGCACTCGGAGTCTCCGTGCCACTCGAATCGAAGTCTGGAATCTCTGCCAACGTGTTCTCGCCTGCCTCCGAGCTATCGCCTTGCGCTTTTCCAGAGGAAGGACTCGCTCATTGTTTGCCAGCTGCGAGAGGCCTCCCGAACCGAAAGGAGCCAGAGCAGCGCCTCAACGTGCATCTGCACTCCCTGTTGCCTGCTACTGCACATGCATGCTTGCTGAAACGGGGAAGGGGGACGAGAGAAACTGTAACACATAATGCTACAAGCCTCCGAAACACAACTAACAGACGTGTTATGGAGTACGTACCTTTCACAGCATCGGGCCCCGCCCGATCATGCGGATATCGGAATCGACTCGGATCGAGGCAGTCGAGATCTATATCAGATCGGATCAGACGGGGCCGAGATGGGCCCTGACCTTGCCATCGCTCGGACGTCCATTCCCCTTGCATGTTTCAGTGTCGTGCGCTCACTTCCCGCAAGATGATCCAGGATGCTTCTCGATGGTCCCCGCCGAGAAAACATGCACACGTCCGAGCGATGCCAAGTGACGTGGCTAAGAAGGCCGGGCATCGGCAACGGCATCTCTTCATCCACCACTCGAAGCGGGGCCCGATCGGCCTGCACATCTCCACGTGGACCGAGGCAGCCTTCTGCGACAGCTTGGTGAGCACCTCGAACTGCGCCAGATGCACCGGGTGGCATGGGCGGACGGCGTTGTCGTAGAAGGCCACGGACTCCGCCGGGCGGGCGTGCGTGGGAGCTCCATGGGCACAGGGAGGGAGGAGGGGGGGCGTGTACGAGGTGGGAACTGGGGGGGGTAAGGAAGAGGAGGCGGATGCGGAAAAGGAGAGGTTGGGAAGGAGGGGCGAGGAGGTGGAGGGGGAGAAGAGGAGGACGAGGAGAAGAGGTAGAGGAGAAGGGGGCGACGAGGAGGACGACTGGGGGAGTGGGAAGTGGGAGAAGAAAGGATGGGGGAAGGGGCGAAGAAGCGGAGCTCCGTCATGTAAAGGAAGCTCCATGATGCGCGGGACATGAGACGAGACGCGGGCGAGTCGGTTGGGATTATTGTCTCGGCGTTGAGGCCGAGGGGTTGCATCATCAACGCGAGCGCTCGCGAAATGCGATCTCTCGACCACATTCGAATCCATGTGCGAGTAAATATGTGGTCCGCGACTGAAGACTTGGGGCCAGCTGAAGAGCTTCGCGGGGGGGACCATTTATGGCCGTCTGGTGCCGATCGTGGGGTCCTCTTGGGCCGTCCAAGACCGTGCACACTGATCTGAGGACAATGCCTCAATCACTTAACAACCTAAAGCAACCCGTGATTCTGGCCTCTCGAGGGCCTGTGTGAGTTCTATTGGGCCGCTCTTGGAGCGTCTCGGGAGCCTCTGCGGTGATTTGAAAACCTCGTTGGGCTGCGCTCAAGTCCACTCACACCGTCTTACGGACCCCTTGAACCGTCTGGAGAGGATCCTGGGCCGCCGGTGGGGCGATCTTGTGATCGGGGTTCTGGTCCAGCGGCCTGGCTCCCTCATACTGCAGTCGGGGCGCTGGCCTGGGGTACGCCGCAATTCTCGATTCCCCTATTGCATGTGCGTATAATGCGACGTACTGTGCGGTCTCGGCATTTCGTGGTAAAACGTAGCGATTCAGCAGCCCACACGCTGCCGCGCGGAATGCTGTCCAGCGCACCCCTGAAAACCAGAGTGGCACTCCATACAGAGCTTTCCCCACTCCTGACATCTTGAGGGAGGAGGGAGATGAGGAATGGGAGAGGGAGGACGCCGACGGCGACGAGAATTGGGGAGACCCCCCCCCAATTCCAGAACCCCCCTGGGGATCCCAAGGCATCCCCGAAAAGCCCATGGAGCGGCTGCGCCGAGGGGCGACCCTGGCCAAGAGTGGCCGCTGGTGCGCGGCCTTGGCGAGGGCGAGGGGGGGGGGGGCAGGCTGGCGCGCGGGAGCGGAGGGGGGGGGGGGGGGGCAAGCCCAGGCACGCAGGCTCGAGTGCAGACGCTGCCTCCAGCTTCTTTGGGGGGGAGACCCCCTGTGGGGCCCGCACCAGAGGCCACTCCAGCGAACGTCCACCTTTTGCGCGCAGCCGGCTGCGACCCCGCGGAGAGGAAGCGGGAAACAAGCAGGCAGACCCGAGCCTTGTACAACTCGTGCCCCTCTCGAATCTTCGCGTCCCAGTGCCGGCCCATCGCGACTGAGCTCTGCACTGCAGGCCAGTAGTGCTTGGTGGTGAAGACCTGCTGGGCGACGTCCCCTCCCCTCCTCATCCTTCTAGGGAGGAGGGAGGACAGAAAGAGCATGACCCTCTCCCCACCCTCGCTCTTCCTCGAACCTTCTCTTCCTGTCTTCCTCCCTCTCCCATCCTACATCCTGCTCCGCTCTCCTCGTCCTCCTTCTCCACCGTCGTCTTCTCCCAATGTCCCCTGTCCGTCTCTTGCCCCATCTCACTCCAAGTTCGCCTTTGCCTCCGACCTCTTCCCTCTAGGTACGCACACCTTTACATCCTCTATCCCCCTCAAGCCCCGCTTGCCCCTTTCACTCCTCCACCACCCCATCCCTCCCACCTGCTCAGCTCTCCACCCCCCCTACACAACTGCCAGACGTGTCAATAGGGCGGTCTGGCCTTCTCGTCTGAGACTCCCCGTCAACACTCGTGATCCGTGCTGGCCCGTGCGCTGAGATAAAGCGATGGTTTTCTCTTCATAGGTCGCTCACGTTCGTCCTTCAGGTCCCACCCAGTCACACGGAAGGAGGACGGCGCATCTTCAGAATCAGGCTCTCGCCATAGTGCTGCGCGCATTCGCCTGAGAAGTGTTCTTTGGTTGCACTGCTGTAGGGGCGTGCTTGTTCAACATTGGGTTCTCGCTTGAGGTTTTCTCAACAAGCACCGCAGTTACACGAATGGATGGCGGCTCCTTTTTCAAAATATGATTTCTGCTTGAGACGCCGTACGCATGACACACCATTCAAAATTGTCCAGCAGCTACGCGGATGGATGGCTGGCCCTTGTCAAAACGGGGCTACCGGCGGAGACTTCCTTAAAGTGACCATCATACTGCTGCACATGTCTTAAAGCTACAATTATGGATGGCCATGGGAATCCTGGTAAAACGGAGCGTTCGCCTGAAAGGCAGGCCAACGGGACGTTCGTCTTCCAAGGAGCGCGTCCCGCAACGAAGAGGAGCCCGTCTAGCGATTTCTGAGGAGAGGGCTGGGACGGGAAGGTGCATTGCAACATCATCGACATTTCGTGGGTTCACTCTCATCCTCCCAGGGGACCCAGAAACGCCCGTGGGCTCAAAACCACTAACCAAGACATTGGCACATTTAAAACATGAAACCGTGAATCTGAAGTATTCTACATGCTTCGCTCTCTCAAACCCCTGCTGGGTAACAAATCACCGCCTGGATATGCCCACGGATGCACCCTGGCTAGAATTTCGTGTGCAATCCAGCCGTGGCAATGAGGACGCCCGAAGAGGATCTGAAAAGATCCGAGACCCAGGCCCTTGAATCTCGATCCATCGCTTCCCTTCCTCCATTCCTTCTCGAAAATGCCAGTGGTGGTCGCCACTTACATGGCGTTCACGATAGTTTTTGCGAATTCGTATCAGTCGTATTTGTGGTGGCGACGCCGGATCGTCTTCTGGTCAGAATTCGTGCCTCTCATCGATAAATTGGCTCCCCGTTCCAAAAGTCTAAGTTTAGCCATCGCCCGCGAGAAATCGGTCTCGAGCCTGTCGCGCATTGGCTACCCACATAAGGTCTTGTAAAAACGCATTGCCGACGGAAATGATGACGAGGATGACGGCTCTCCGTTGCCCTCAACCCCTTACACGGACGGGCTCTGCGCAAGGACAACATTTAAAAAAATCACACCACGAAATCCTTATCATCCGCAACGAATCGGTTTCGAATTTCTCGATTGATTTACGACATTTCAAAGGATGTCTATCTGGCTGGACCTGAAACTTAGAACTCTACTTTGAACTTCCTGCAGGAGACCACTGGGCGAAACGCGACGGACGAAACTTAGCAAGCCTGGTTTGAAAACTTTCAGGTCGACCTGAAATTGTCATGGTGCCCCCCGTGTATGCGGCCTGGCGGCAATGTCCGATGATTACTTTCGGTCGACCTGATTGGGCTGCCCCTGCCAAGAAAATAGCGGGATAAACGCGCCGGCGGACGACTTCCAGGTCCAAGCTGAAGTTCACCCCGTGTATGACATAAGGCACTTCTGTCACGTCTTCGACTGTATACCCCGCTGGGCGAGCAACTCGACAAAAGGATCCTGGACGGACCTGAACATGTAGACCCAAGGTAGTTGCCGCCCAGCAGGCCAGAGCCCTTGCCGAGGACATTCTACTGGACCCCGTGTGCCTATGGGGGGCGTGTGAAATTTAGCCTACCTGATCTGCCTGGACTCCGTCCCTCACGACACGCGTGCACGGCGATGCCCTGGGTCCACGTTGCCCTGCGTGTCTTTGCTATTTTTCGATGTCCGCACCACTTGCGTACACTGTCAAAGTGGGGGTCGCCACTTCCGGGGGGGAAACGACATCTCCTCGATGACACTCCAGAGCTATTCTTTTTTCGGTGTCCGCACAATTTTCTTTCGTAAACTGTCGATGTGGGGGTCCCTACTTCCCGGGAGTAACGACATTCCTCGAGGACGGTGAACATCCAAACAGCACTCCAGAGCCCCCCCCACGAACCCGAACGTCCAACAACCTCCTCGAGCTTCTGTCCTGGAGCGTCGATCCTTGGGAGGAATTGGAGCACCCCCCCCCAAGTCCACGACATGCAGTGTCAAGTACTATGCGGCCCCGGGGGATCCCGACCCTTTCCGAGGGCCGCCTTCTCATCCGAAGTCGTTTCTTGATGGCCCACGGGCACAAAAGATTGGCCGACCGGCCCCCAGAAGCTGACATTTTCGAACCATGTCCGCCCTGCCTGCTTCAAAACGTTGCGTTCCTGGGGTGGTGCCCCCCGGGGTTCTGCCACCTCTTTCAAGGGGTTCCTCCTCCTCCTCCTCCTCCTACTCCTCCTCCTCCTCCCTCCTCCCTCCTCCCTCCTCCCTCCTCCTCTTCCTCCTCCTCCTCCTCCTCCCTCCTCCCTCCTCCCTCCTCCCTCCTCCCTCCTCCTCCTCCTCCTCCTCCTCCTCCTCCTCCTCCTCCTCCTCCGGGGGCCCGGGGTGGCCTTGCCGGCCTTGACAGAGCGCGCCCTGCCGCGGATCTGGGTCTCCAGCTCGGGCGCCCAT